GGGGGGGGGGGGACTTTGACAGTAAAAAAAAAATTGTGTTATTATCTTTGAATTCTTAATTTTCCTATTCTATTTTTAAAATTAAAATTTTCAATTTTAATTTTTTAAAAACTGTAATAAAATCTGTCGGCGTCGTCGGCATTAAGGCAGATGGGATGCGATTGTTCTTGTTTTCCAGTTGTGCCATCTATGGCCAAGAATTCGAATTCTGCCTCACCCATACGTCGCACTCGTTTATAGGGAGAACCTATTCATACATCCATTCATTCGTCCACAGATCGTAATTTTGATCTGAACCAGAATCTCCAATTCAGTACTCTCAGAGGTATTGAATTGTTACGGGAACATGGAGGACTTTGTGACCCGACAGATTTAACATGCATCATTTACTACACGGTGAGTCTTCGGCTGGCTGAATTCGAACTCCCAACAACAAACGTGACACAAACGTGAGTTCAGCTCCCTGGCAACCCGGCTATCCCAGCCAATAAAATGTGTACTTTAGCATATTGGGAGGTAGAAAAATCCGAATCAAACCTACAGAGTCGTTGACCGATATAGATAGGCCCTTTTTCTTTAATAGCTACTTTTGCAAACTTCTTTTTATTGGATTAAATTTTATTTAGAGAAAAAAATGACATTAGAAATAATCTACGACTATAAAAAGTTAATTCAACGATAAAAATAATACGTATATTTTTTTTTCTAATGGCAGGGACTGAACTTTTACGTTCTTCGCCTAGGAAGATACCAGAAGTATTACTAATTTAACGTTACCCAGTGGGCACCTGTGATCCACGGAGGCGAGCAATATTACCCACGCTGCTCTGCCACAGATACCTGTTTATAGGGTGTGCCACATTCACACAATAGAAAACAACACACAGAGCGAAACATCCATTCCCTGAGAGGGATTCGAACCCGCAGCCATTGGCTTTGCAGTCAGCCACGCTAACCGCTCGACCATAAAAATAATATAACCAGCATAAAAATATTATAAACATGTGACAAAATTTAGTAAAACATACTGACTTTAAGGAACTTTATTTTGAAAGAGTTTGGGTTGGCAAAATATAGTTAATGTATACATTACAATTTTGAAATATTCTAATTATTAAGAAACTCTCCTTCCAAAAAAATCTTTCCACCATAAATTGATGGATTCTGAAGGATCAAAGTTTTGAATGGAAACATTAATATTTTAATGAAAATTCTGTTTTCCAGAATCCTTCTTTATTGTTGAAGCAATCTAGTAATCTAGTAAAGCAATAAACAATTTGAAAAAAAAAAAAATTATGGGAAAAATTGACCGGTTACATATTTAAATTAACTCGCCACTTTTTTATGTTGACTATCGCCATGTGGTGAGTGGTAATTTTCATGTTCACCTTTAGCGAGCGTTTTAAATAATTTCGGAGTCGTTGTTAGTTCGTGAATATTGGCTCAGCGGTCATAGTTTAGGAGTCATAGTCATAGCGGTCATAGTTCGATATAAAGTTTACTAAGTTGAACATAGCTCAGCTATGTTCAACTTAGTAAACTTTAATATCGAATTTAATGAGCCAGAAGAAATGAAACCCCTGGATCAAACACAGGGGCAATCTCACCTCGCCTTCGCGATGGAGTTTTTGAGAGAAACTAAACCGTTTTAAGTAAATTTCTCACGATTAGCCCGATGACAAGGATTTAAGTTCTATTTTAAGAAAATGTTAAGAAATGCAAAATTGCTAAAAAATATATATCTTTAATACTTATACTTGCTTTAATTAACCAAAATAAAATAATATTTCAGCATTCTATTGACGCTCTAAAAACAAAATTTTCATCAAATACGTACTTTCATGAAAGTATTCTGAACTATAAAATTAATCGTACGTTCACCTTTTATAACTGAAAATGTTAAAATCAAATGCCTAGTTGTACAACACAAGAGACATTTATTTTCAGGCATTCTTTTTTTTTTATAATTATTTTTACTTCAAAAGTTTGTTAATTTAAATTCAAGTTAATGAGCGCAAGAATTCTCCTTTGAAAAATTTCATTTTATTCACCCTCTTTAAGAATATAGTAGCACACGAAACTTTTTCTAACGTCATTTTCTCTTTTGACGAAGCTTAATTATGGAATTATTTAAATAAGAGACTTAATTAAAATTGTAGAATTTGTAGCACGGAGCTATTTCAGTTAATAATTTTTACATTGTAAAACTATTTTGTGTATTCTAACAATCATGCGCTGTTATTTGATTGAATTTTTTTATTAATTGAATTTATTTTAATTTCTGAAGTTTATTCTCAGTCAATTTAAGTTCGCAAAATGTTCTTCCCCCATCTGAAAAATAGAAAAGAAAATTAAAGTGAATGTAAAACTTTTCACTGTAATTGATCTATCTACATGGAGGAAGAATTATTGTAAAATAATCGTACTGTATGGTACTAACAGCTTTGGTTAAAAAAAAATCATAATTTTGATAATAAAAACCAAAATATACGGTATTTAAACAGTTCATTCCGTAATTTTTTTGCTTGTATGGTAATGATTCACCGATGATTCTGACTTTCAAAACATAGTTCTTATCACCACACATAAATCAAATTTGAAAAATAAATTTTACTGAATAAATGGATTTTATGTCATGCTCCTAGGTATTGAGACAAAAATATCAAATTTTACCACATTTACTGAATTTTCTTTCACATTTTACTAAACCATATTTTAGTGTTATTGGTGTTCGTATTTTGTCAGAAACTCGATACATTTTACTGTATTTTGGTTGTTTTTACCGTGTTTTTTCCCCTTTTTTTTATGTAATGGCAATATAAGAAAATATACGTTTAGACAAATTAATTGATTCAACAAGTGAGAGCTAATTTTGACGAAGCGATATTAATATATTCGTTCATTAATTATATCCAAAAATATCTTATTACAAAAAGTGTTTCTTACAAAATTACCCAATTAAGTCATTTACATTTTATAATAATTTAAAATCTAAATTTTGCAATCATACGAAGTAAACTTTATATCATGAACCTCAACTTTATCTAAATATGTTTGGCACAAAAAATGTGTTTCGTAATTCCGTAATCCGTGATGGATTGTTGATCAAGCTTGTAAACCTTCTGAATTATAGTTAAGCAACTTAGTTTAACTTCAAGTTTATCCTTAATTAAACAAATTTAAACGTTTGCTCAGTTCAACGATGCGTTAGTTTTTATATCATTATTGACTCCTTTACATGGTTAGTTTAGGCTCTACTGCGGGGGGGGGGGTATATAAGCCTGAGACTCACATGCAGTTCACTAAAACGCTTTTAAGCTTCAGCCAGAAATATACATGCTTGGTATATTTTTTTAAAAAATTATAATAATAATATAATAATTTTTATGTAATATATATTTTATATTTATTGTATAGTATTTCAAATTCATTATATTTTAATTAGTTCCCTAATTATTGATATTTATGACAATAAATATCCCAAGCCAAAATGACCCAAACCAAAAAATTTGTTCACTCTCTGCTATATTACATCATTGGTAAAAATTCCTCCGCTATTTAAAGCTTTATTCCATGTAAGTGTGTTTATAATAAAAAATTATATTTATTAAAGTTAAAGAAGATAAAAGATGTTTATATTCTTTTAAGAATCTCTAAATACATAAAAGTACATCTTGTTTTTATGTTTATTTCTTACAGTAAAAAAAAAATCCCGTTTAAATAAATATTTCAAGTAAAATATTTTACAGCTAAAAATACCTTCATAATTTTTATTATTTTCATACAGATGATCAGAATTTATTTCGTTGATTAATGATTTTGTCATATGATTTTTCTGTCCAATAAGAATGTCTCAAAAAATAATAGGCAGTATTTTGCTTTTGATATATTGAGAAAAAATTGCTTTCATGAATAGAGTCAATGAACTTTCCACTGACTTAATTTAAAACAATCAACAAATTGCAGATTTAAAATTGAAGAGATTACAGATTTAAGATTAGAATTACAAATTAAATGGTAATAAATCTAATTTCCTGATAAATTACAACTTTCTCAAACATTAGGGCATCTTAAGCACATGAAAAAATTTGTATACTTTTACTATTCCTCATTATCGAAGTTTCCTCATTATCGAAAACAAGTTGATTTACAGATAAAGATATGTAATTCAAGAAACATTCATATTCATCGTTGAAGATGTATTCTTAAATCGTTGATAAGTATATGTAGTTTTAATTAAAAAAAAATTTTGTTTATCAAAGTATACAAATTTGTGCTATATTTGTGATTTCATATGTCTTAGTTATATGTGTTTTTTTGTGTAATGGGACGTAGCCCTCATATTTTTTTTTATATATTTCACTTAAATTGTACAATTTAAAATGTTTTGTGCTGAATTTTTATTCGCTTTTTATAGAATTTGAGAGAACGCACTATCCAGACGTTTTTGCAAGGGAAAGGTTAGCGGAAAAAATTTCCTTACCAGAAGCAAGGATACAAGTAAGTGTTAGTCCCAACATTTTCTTCTAACTTATCTAACAAAATCAGACAAAATTTAATCGGGAGAAAATTAAAATCCCCTAATTGTGTTAACTATGGAAACAGAATTTTTATTCCCTGCAAAATCTTTCCTCTAAAATTTTATATATTAAAACTCATAACATGGTTTGAAAAATTACGAATCTTTAAAAATGCTACTATTTCCATACAAGGTTGGTGCTAATTATAGTAATTGGATGATGTTTACTTGTTAGATGGTTCATTAAAGCTCCTAGCGTGTTTTAAAAAATCACGATCAAAACTTTTAAAATGCTGCGATATCCATAGAAAGTTGGCGCCAATTTTAGTGATTGGATGATGTTCACTAGCTGGATGGTTCGTTGAAACTCCTTGCACGTTTTAAAAGATCACGATCGAAACTTTTAAAATGCTACGATTTCCATACAAAGTTGGCAGTAATTTTGGTTATTGGATGATGTTCATTAGATGGATGATTCGTTAAAGCTCCTAGCATGTTTTAAAAAATCAGATCACCTTTAAAATACAATTATTTCCATGCAAAGTTGACCCCAATTATAGTAACTGGACGATGCTTAATTATTCGTTTCTTTTCGAATAACAGTCATTTTTTTTTCGTTTGAAGTTCAATGCTCTCGTTTTTAATATTACTTCGTAAGAAACTATTTTAATGAAATATTTAGTATATTTTCAAAGATATTTTCTAAATTGTTGTTGTACGAAGAAGAACCAAACTTTCAAGAACCCTACCACATACCCTCCCATAAAACTTCTCCATATTACATAGCTACAGCCAGTAGAAAGTTGTCGTTTTTTTTTACTCTCATATACGCTATGCTTTTTCGTTTGCTTATGGTTTGTCCATCATGTCTTTTGGCTACAATAGATTTATCACATATTCAGCGCCTTAGCTTCAATGCTTTTCTGTTGTATATATTTTGATATATAAAAACTTCCCAAGCAGACCAGGTGAAACAAGAGGCTTATCAAACTTTCCCTCCGGAGTGTATAAAAAACTTCCAAGCAATATATAGATAGACAGTTAATGCAAATCTTGTATTGATGCAATCTTTATTTCTGAGAGCTCGGTTTATGTTTTTTCAAATTGCTAAGAGCTTAAATTATTATTAATTGCTGCTTTAATTAAATTTTGATATTTTTTCCCCATAGGAAAAACAGTAGCAACTTCAAACTTTTTCACAGGATAGAAAAAATAATTATCTATTAAAATCTACAATGAATAATGCAAGAATTTTTTTTTTCATTTCGGATAACATAAGTTTAAATCAAATTCAGAGTTAGTTTATGCTTACGATATTCCCAGCTTCTGAATAGAACGCATAAAATACAGTAAACACACTGAATCTGTTTAAAAATCATTTCAAAATGTTAAACATTTGATTATGTTGTTTATTTATGATGTTGAACGTTCAAAATGTTTCAAATGTTGATTTTTCAAAATGTTAAAGGCTTAAATTATTAGTAATTTATTATTTGCTGATTTAATTAAATTTTGAAATTTTGTTTCCACATAGGTAAAACAGTAGCAAGTTCAAACTTTTTCTCAGGATAGAAAAAATACCTATTCATTAAAATTAATGCAAGTACTTTTTTATTTATTTGTTTTTTGTAGGTGTGGTTTTCAAATAGAAGAGCGAAATGGCGGAGAGAAGAGAAACTACGAAATCAAAGGCGAACCGTAGATCAAGTGAGTGCATCATCCGTTGCAACACCAACCGCTGGACGGTTGCCATTGAACGGTACTTTTGCAAACACAATGTATCCCTCTCTTGGACAGCCTATGGGTGCAATGCCAGACTCATATAGGTACTCTTTTAAAACTATTATGTTTATTCATGTATTCTTTGCCGGTTGAACTTTTTTTAAAACTTGCTAGTGGAATGCAAATTTAATTCATATCGCAATTACGACGATTTGCGACAGCTTAATTTCAAAATTCAGGTCAATATGACAATTGATGAGCTTAATAGAGAAGAATATGTTCAGTAAAGATTTTTCGAAAATTGTCTCTAAAAGCGTTATAAATTTCTTGCAATTAACTTATAAAAGACAAGATTAGCTCTGGGGGTAAAGCCCTTATCCTACAATGAGGTAATCCCGGTTCGATTTTCTGCGATGCTGTCCAGCGATAATTGACCGATGATTCGCATATTCCTACTGGTACTCACCGATTATAATTCTGAAGAAGAGTATTCCCAATGTTGTGAGATATATATTGTGGTTTAAAGTCCCCTTGCTATAGAGCTAGTAGTGGTTTACCATTTCGTGTAGCTCAAAAGTAGGTCAGTTTCACTAAAAGTCTTTAACGAAAATCAGTTTCTTTAAGAAGTTTCCTTGCATTCTGAAATCGGTTGAAAATTATAAGGATACAATTTTAAATAATATTATATCCTAATTCAGATGTGGAACACCTGTTAAAATATTATGTCCTAATTCAGATGTGGAACATCTGTTAAATTTTGGTTATGCAGAATTAGTATCATAATGTACTCAAATCCAAAGTTTCTGTCTTTTTAAAATATCACTTAATATTTCATTCCACGAAGCCTTTAATTATCACTAATTTCTATATTTAATTTTAGTTATTAATTTTATATGAGTTTGTCAAATGCTTTTTCGTGGATTACATTTCGGGTATTTTATATTCATTTTAGCACACTCCATTAACGAATAGAGAAACATTAATATCAGATTTTGATAATTCCTTTCCTGTATTAGATTATTATTTAGATATTGATTTACATTGCTGAGTAAAATTTATTATTCTTATTTTTATTTTAACTTGTAACATTTTGTCAAGTTGATCCTAAATACATTAAGGTCTATTCAACCTTTTGCAATGATAAAAAAGAGCGGTTACTAGTGCAATATATTTTTAGCATATTACAGGCTCTTTTTTTATGACGATATGGAAACAATTAAGGAAGTAGGTCAGGAAAACAATTAAGGTCACTCATATACATTTTGGCGTATGAAGTACTAAGCATAATTTGACTCACCGAATTTTCATTAAACATATTTTTCTTACTTTTTTCCTTATTTTGTATTAATTTACGTCAAAAAAGTACAAATTTTATATTTAGCATTTTAATAATTTATGGTTATGCCATACAGCATGAAACACCGATGTCCTTTTCTGCGTGGAAGGTAAACTCTTCTAAACACGACTGATTTCAAATTTGCATTTATTTGCAATTATTTAAATCTAAGAGAAACAGTTATTCATCATTGAAATTTCTTTAATCTACAAAATCAATTATTGATACATTTTTTAATTTGAATGGAAAAAAGGTAAGTATGAAGGTTTCTTTTCAATATAGTATAGTATAAAGGTTTCTTTTTAATATAGAATAGTCTAAATCAGGGGTTTTCAACTTACATGAGGCCGGGGGTTGCAATTAAGAACACCAGTCAAATGGCGAGCCGCAACTTCATCAAAATTTTATATATGACTCTTTTATGTTTGAAGGAACATTAAATATTACTGTAAGAATTTTATCAGGTTGTACAAAACGAAAGTATTGAATTACAAATTAAAATAAGAAGTAGATTTTTGCATGAGAAATAAATTTTTTTGCACAGTTAGTATGTTAAATTTCACAGAAACGAAGAAATTAGTTTTTTTTTTTTAACGAAAGAAAAGTATTTTAAACCCATATAGATTTTTTTCGAAAATTGTCCGCAAAAAAATGACAAATAATATATTTTAGTTCGCGGGGCACAAAAAAGCTTCGAGGGCCGTATGTGGCCCTCGGTCCGCCAGTTGGTAACCACTGGTTTAAAGGTTTCTTTTCAGTATAACAGTCTAAAGGTTTCATACAGTATATCATATAACAGGGGTGGCCAACCTGTGGCTCGCGAGCCACATGCGGCTCTTTGAAGGGCTATTTGTGGCTCTCGATAAATATACCCGAGTTCCTTTTCATTTTTGTGCTATTATATTTTAATATTTTTCTGAACCCATTTGAAATTAACATAATTCAAGGTGAGTTTTCCATTTCCAATATACTTATGACCCAAAAAGCATCTGAAGAATTAGAATTAATAGAGATGCAAGACGATCAAGCTCTACAATTAAAATATAAGTCGACGTCGATTACAGAATTTCGGAAATTTGTTCCAGAATCGAATTATCCTGAATTAAAAAAGGCTGCTTGTCTAATTATTTCAATATTCGGAACAACGCACTTATGTGAATCATTTTATTCCATTTTAAATTTCGTGAAATCCAAACACCAATCAGTATTAACTAACCAGTATCTCAAAGAATTACTGAGAATTGCTATCACCAATTATTCACCAAATTTTAAAGAATTGTCAAGATAAGTAAAATAAATGTGTTTCATTTTTAATATTTAAATTCAATACATATATTTTGTACTTTTATTTACATGTTTTCAATAAATATAATTTCTGTAAAATAAAATTTTTAATACCTTTTTTGCATACCTTTTAAATAAATATTTAATTGCGGTTCGCGAAAAATTTCAAATTTTGAGAAATGGCTCGGCTATCAAAGAACTTGGCCACTCCTGTCATATAAAATAAAGGTTTATCACATAGTTTGGAGGTTTATCTTATAAAGTAGTTTCATATGGTATAAAGAGTTTTTTAAAAACTATTATGCGAAATAAAGTGTACGATCTTTTCAAGGGTAACTAGAGTATCTAATCCTGAACAAAAAAAGAGTTTACATTAATTTCAGCTAAAGTACTCATAACAATAGAAAGACTAATGACTTTTAATATACTTTTCTTTTTATGATTATTATAGTAATTAATTTGAATTCCAAATATTTCATATAATAAAAGTGATAATTTTCTAAGACAAATATTGATTTTACAGCAAAGACATGTCTTCATTTTATAGCATGGCTCCGGTGTCTGGCATGACACCGAGTTCGTGTCTACAACAGAGAGACCCTGGAGCTTATTCATATATGCTGCACGATACGCTCAGTCTTGGTGCCTATTCTAGGGCGTCGTGTACACCAGCGCAGCCTATGAATACGCATCCTTCGTACGCAGTCAGCGGAGCTAGTCCACATAGTGCAGGTAGGTGTCTTTTGATTCTGAAAAAATTGTTTTTAATTACCAACATTTAGAATTTAATACTTTTAAAATTGGAGCATCACGGTTTCCCGAAATTGAGCAAAAATGTTTTGAAATAGCTCCAAAAAAAATAATAATTCAAAAAACGTCATGTATTCAAAATTAAAACATTATGAGCTCATTTTTGAACAAAATGATGTGGAGGGTCTCAAAAATGATGCGGAGGGATAAATATGTGAGAGAGATATTCGTTTGGCAGTGACAGTGTTTACCCCCCATTCACTTAAAAGTTTTTAAGATCTAGGGAAATAAGCAAAAATTGGAATTAAATTTATCTATCTCCTGATTAAGCTATTGAAACCATATATATATATATTTTTTAAAAAAAGCAACTCTTTGTACTATTAATATTATAAATTAGTATGTCATGATGTGTCATTGTCACGTCCATTATATACAGATTCCTAACTCTCCCTGGACTGGGGTATAAAAATATGGTAATTAAAGATTCCTACTACGAATCTGGAGGTACTTAGTTCGAATCCTGCCGGCAGCCAACGATTACCATTCTCAATGAATATCATCTTTTTGGACTATGCATTTTCCTCAAAAATGAGTATATCTGCTTCAATTTTGAATACGTAGGGTTTTCAATTTTCGACTATTATTTGTTACAGCGCTATTTTGACACATTTTGAGAAAACCTCTTTTATAGTGCAGATATTAGATATAAGGAAAAAGTAAATTATTTTAATTCCTCTAGGTCCTGCTTGACAGATACAATTATTTTACTCGAAATTTTTCTTTTCTTAAAGTTTATTATTAATTAATTCAATATTTACTTAGTGATTTAGGCATGTTAGATTTTCCTTTAGTATTTCATGGAAGTATTTTATTTAGCATTTCGTTTTCTTGCATAGCATTTAAAAATTAAGGGTACTTTCAAATTAAACATTAGTATTTTATGGCAGTTCTTTATTTAGTATTTAATTTTCTTTCATATAATTTAAAAAGTAAGAGTAATTTTAAAAGGAAATATTAAGTATTTTATAATAAAGAATTTAACCAACAAATCTGCTAATCTATTTTTCTTAGCAACGCATAAAGTAAAATGGAAATACAAATAGTGATAATGTTTAATTGAATACTAAATTTGATTACATGTGAAAAAGGGGCGTGATTACTTTAGAAAAAGTATCAAATAATTATGTCCCGCAGTGGACTGATAGTTAAGACACGGTTCCCAGCAGATCACCGAAGTCAAGCATCACTGGCTACGGTCAGTGTGCGGGTGGGTGACCACTTGGATCAGCCTGCGTGGGGATCGAGGGTGTGCGGTATTGGTACTCGTTAAACTGTTCTACCGTAAAGTGCTCGACTTCGCGTGCAGGTCATCGGGCTACCGAAGCGAGGGTGCCATCCCCTCCACAGAGGATCAAAATTGGGATGGCATGTCTTCGGATCATCCTCAGGGATGTTTCCCAGCCCGTCGGCAATAGCCCATTGTGCAGCTCTAGTGCGACGTAAATGAACAACAACAACAACAAATCAAATAATTATTTTTTACTCATTTTATTGAAATAATGAAGATATATTGAGTTTTATATCGCATATCTTCAATATCGATTAATAATAAAGTCGCAACAATATCGAGTCGTAAGTCGCAACAATATCGAGTTTTTGAAACTTATACGAATCTCTGGTAGCAAACTAGCGTACGTTAAGCAAAATCTTACCGAATTTGCAAATTTATCTTCAAATAAAATATTTATCTTCAAAACAAAAAGCTTTAAAAATATCTTTAAAAAATTCTTTTTTTTCCTTTCAAATTTCAGGTGTTATATCACCTGGAGTTACAGTGCCCGTGCAGGTTCCCGGACAAACACCCGATATTTCAGTAACGAGTAATTACTGGCCGAGGATCCAGTGACAAAGGGACTCCAGTGGTCGCCATAAATGGTCGTCCAGTGGTACTTCTCAAACACAACAGCAATCTCAACAGCAACAACATCAACAACAACAGCAAATATCGCAACAACAGCAAGATATGATAAATGATCGCAATCTTTCGATTCTTGATGGTCTAAGGTTAGGTGAATCGCACTATTTGCATCCTCTTTTCCTTCATCTGGCTTCTGGAGTAGAAAGAAATTCATCTTGGAATACACCTGCCTTAGACCACAGTGCATCGACAGAGCATGATGTCCAAGAATCAAAAGCAAAAATAGAGGAAGACAGCAAATCACATTCCGAGCACGAAACATCTATAGTTCATAATCTACCGAAAGTTTTATAGCTACAATCAAATACTTAACTACTGTTTCATGGGATATAACGCTCCAATCAAGTTCTGCAGAAATTTGTCTAAAAAATTAAATGTGAGTTTTTCTGAACTCTGTTTTTAATTAATTTTGAGTATCATCTTGATATTAAATTGTACTTAAGTTGCACATACATGAAATATATTTGATGAGGGACCATTCAAATATTACGTGAACGTATTTTAGGCGAACTTGAATCTCGCTCCATCGTCAGCAAAAGAAAGTAAATTGCAAACCACAATCCCTTCGCTTAAGCAAGATCTTTTCCTCTCGTCAAAATGTAATGTTTCACACAAAATCTAGTTATGTCTGAAATTAAAGAAATTTAGAAATTAAAAAAATTGGAAAGAATATTAAAAATTAAAGAAATTTAGTGTCTTCCATAAACATTGCTCATACTTTCATTCCTTGCCAGAGTAAGAAACGAAATCACAAATTTTCCTGCTCCTTATGCGTTCACGTTATGTTTGAATAGTTCCAAAGAACAGAATAAAAGTGCAAAAAGTTTGATATTAAAATGTGAATCTAAGCATGATCAGATAAACAATATTTTAAAACAAAACTTTTAATTTAAAATTGCTTATTAAAACACCTTCATTGTCAATATCTTTTCTTATGATAATCCCGAATCTAAAGAATTTGATGAGAACAACTGAAATTTTCTTTATCATATGAGCCTTGTAATATTCATTTTATTAAAACACCATTTTACTAACACAGCAAAGTTTAAGGCACAGCTTTATGTTTAGTTCAATTTATTGCAGTTTGAAGCTTTTATATTTGTACAAATATAATAAAAAAATTTAAACTTAAATATTTTAGTGATTGTTTTTAAAAATATTTAGCTACAAGAATTATTACTTACAAGAATCATTATTTTCAACCTCCAATGGAATCAAAAATAAATTATAAATTGAAATTGTTACCAAAAGTTGAGTAAAAATTTAATTACTCTTTAACGTAATTGCCAGAAAGATGTATCAAATTTTCTTATCACTAAATAAGCTTCGATATCGGTTCTAAACAATCTCGCTAGGCGGTGAGTTTTAAATTTCTCGTTGGTCTCACATTAGTGGCACCGTTTATTAAAGCAGAGATTGTGAAGCTTGTTTACTGACACGACAATTGTCTGAATCTTGATGTCAACTAAATAAAAAAATAATTACGTTTTTCTTAATTTTTGGTAATAATTTCGTGTTTGTATATATTTTTAATTAATTTTATGATGCATCAAAATTTGAAAAAAAAATTACCCATATTTTTATGGAATTCGCAGTTTATGTAATTGAATGCTTTTCTTTTTAACGACGTTTGAGATTATTATTCGAAAATTTCCCCAATGTTTATTTTCTTAAAAATGTAAAATATGAAAAGCACACTTTTTTCAGATTTATTACCTCTTTATCTATAGCTGGCGCTATCTTTCTTGTCTTATTTCGGTAACATATCATGTCTATTTATGTAAATTGTATATTTAATTATAATTTAAAAATGCATCAGAAAACAAACTGTTATAATAGCTTAATAGTGAAATGCAGTCGTAAAAATTTAATAATTCTAACAAATATTTGGAACTGCTGTAATCATTAATGCATAAAAAATTGTTTGGGAAATATTGTACGGAGAAAAAAATTCTGGTAAAATTACCGTAGAGAACGGTAATGACATTTCTGGTAAAAAAAACAGCATAATTCTGTATAATAAAACCAAAATATGCGGTATTTAAATCATTCATTTGGTAATTTCTCTGGGGAGTGCAGAACTCTTCTCCGGAAATTCTGGTTTCCGAAATTATAGTTCTTATTACTACACATTTAGTAAAAAGTATAAAACTGAAAAATAAATTTAACTGTATTAATGGTTCTTATGCCGTGATCTAAAGCATCATGATAAAATTACCAAGTTTTACCACATTTATCAAATTTCATCGCAGATTATAAAACCATATTTTATAGTTAATTTTACCGAAATCATTACCAAAGCGTTTCGGCAAAATTACCGAGCTTTTTGGTGTTATCACACAACCGCTAGAAGCACGGTAAATTTTGCCATGTTCTGGTAGTTTTGACCATAATTTTTTTTTCTCAACGTGGTATAATTAGTGCTATCGAAATAAATAGTACTTAATACAAAATTTACGTAAATTAATTTTAATATCTATATAATGAGCAAAAGCAATTTTCGATTAATATCCAAAAACTTAAAAATTCAAAAAAAAAAATTATAAAAATTCTAAATATACATTTTGAAAATTATGAATCATTGCATTGTTTATCAATGTTTGAATACGACAGATAGTCATTATTAATTCATATACAAAGCATGGAATGTACTGTGATGATTATAAGCTGTAAGTTAATTTTCATATTAATGCTCACTGCTAGTCATATGAGTCACCAAAAAAGTGATATTAAGTGATGAAAACAGTATACCAAAGGGACTATAGGATATTTAGGACCAAAGTTACCGAGAATGTGAAAAGTATATTTTGTGCCATGTCGTCAAATGATGACAAATCTTTGTATACATTGTACTTAATATTTCAATGTAATATATTTAACTCTTCCATTTAAAATCATCAGTTCATTATAATAAAATGAAAGCGCGATGGCAATTAGCTGTTCTTCCTTGAAGATTCATGGTTGTATTATGTTGCTATTTTAAAACTGAATCCTAATTTTATAATGATAATGATAATAATAATAGTGAAATAAGTTGAATGATAAAATTCAAGCCCTGAATTGATTTCTATTTCTCAGTGTTGTTTAAATATTCGTTTGTTTAGTGGCCTGAAAGTAAAGTTGAAAACTCCTCTTATGTAATCTATAATTATTTTTAAAATAATTTCTTGATAATGATATTGGAATATAATATTCATCGAGCTTATAAACTTGTAGTTTTTATTATTCTAGGTTAAAATCTGCCAGAATAATACATCGCTAGGGTAAATCACGGATCAACAAAATATTGTGAGAAACAAAATCTTTTGTAAAAAAGAAAATAATAATAGCTTATACGAAATCCCATACAAACAAAATTTAGGTGGGTGATTACAGCAATGACAAAATAAAGTGAAAAGAATTCTAATTTGGACAGTAGGGTATGGTTTCCTCTATCTTAAATGTTAAAACTATTCGAGGTTTGCAGCGCATGCACGAAACTTTCCCCACTGATCACCGTATCCCTTGCTAATTTACAGTTCAAACCGCCTTTAATGATTCGCTCTCATTTTTGGAGATTTTCCTCTTGGCTGTAGTTGGTCTCAATTAAAATGCAAGCTTTTATTTAGTTATTTCTTTTTGAAAAAATGCTACTTGAACTTTAAAAAAGCAAAATAGAATTGAGTTTTTATTTATTTATTTAATAGAATACCAACCAGAAGAGTGGGTCGTTTAATGCCATGGTATTGGAAATTAGCTAACCATTTAGGGTTAAAAAAAAAAGATTAGCGTTATGCAAAATCTCTCTATTATCTTACTTGACAAAGCACTCTCGTATGATGAATAGTCAGCTGAATTTATTGTGAAAGAAGTAAGTCTCTCACTTTTAATTTGTGGTTTCCGCATTTCTCCCCCCCCCCACCTCGCAATATCTTGTTTTTACATTTTTAACTCGTGAAATAAGCTATGCCCATGCAAAATCTTGCTTTGCACAAGAATTTGCCACAAATGCGAGTTTCTTTCTTTTTTTTTCTTCTCTTTTTCAATGCGAGTGTGTGCTTGCGTGGAAATCTGTCTGCATTGCATGACGTTTTTTCAGAGCGAGGTTTTGTTAGTGTGAATTTTTATTTGACAAAGATTCTGTCTGCATGGCATTCTGTCTATGCTAAATTTTGTCCATGCAAAATTCTGCAAGCAAACACTAATTTATGCAATATTTTGTCCTCGTGAAATTTTGTTCTCGCGATTACCTGAGGTCTGCAATTTCCGCCATTTTCATCTTGAATTCTATGTTATATGCGGTATATGATTGCAATATCAAAATGTACAGCAACATCTCAACTCGTGATGATCTAGATCGATTTCTTTTTTAAAAAAAATATTAATTTATTGAAATCGCATAAAAAGAAAGAAATCATTTATAAAGTTAGTTTTCGAATAAAAAAGAAGCTTTAAACTGTATTAATGCAGCTTATCTTAAAGTTTTATTTTGTCTACTTATAAACTCGATGGTATTATTAAATAGAAATATTTCTTTATTGAGTAATTGAAAACTGGGAAATCTAAGAAATGTAACTCCATTAAATAAAATTTAATTTATGCGCTTGATAAATTTTATTGGAAATTTTAATCTATGTTTTATTTCTTTTAAAAATATTACATTACACTATTTCTTTAAGAATTTTTTAGTAAATATTTCTTAAAATATTTTAAATATATAAAATGGTAATTATTCTTTATTTATAATAATGTGTTGTATTAAGAAAAAATAAAAAAACTGAGCCTAAACATGAAAAATACGCATTTGAAATGTTTTCCATTTATTGTTTTGTAAAATAATTTTGCAGACATTAATTATGTGTTGATTATTTTTCAATTATAATTCTCATATATAAAGTGTGCTATCATTCAAGACATGGGTTCATGTTATTTAAATGTACTATTTTTAATGAAAAATATTAAACTAATGCAATAAAGTGAAAAAGTGTATAATAACTATTGTTAATGAAACAATTCTACACAATCAGAAGTAGCCACAAATTATCTATTTTTTTTGTTTTAGTTTTTTAGAGTAATTGAAGATATCTATCAAATATTAACAAATAAATTTTTAAAAAAATCCTTTGATCAGAAATTGTGGAAAAAACTTTAAAAATAAATTTTTATCACAAAAATTAAATTGCACTTTGTTGAATTATTTTTAGTTTTCAACTTTGATGACATCTACAATTATAGGGTTTCAAGTTTACTCTATGGAAAAATGTTGATTTAACTATTTACATTTATTAAAATTAAAATTTTGTAATTATAGCAAATGTAGAAAAATAATTAATGTATAAAAAAGACTAATTTGTGGTTACCACTGCACATAAGTATTGCTTTCTGAAATCTTTATAGAAATAATTATAATACTAATAATTATATTTTTTTATTTACCAATTACTGATTATCTGTAAAAATACGATTTGCCTAAAAATTAATATAAATAATTTCTAAAACAAATATAATTAATCTTTCACATAAAACTTAATGTTATATATTTTTTAACTATTTTATCAAACATATTTAAATTAATGCATTTTAACAAAGTGGTTCTTAAATCTTGAGTGCTTATTTCAGCGTATTGGCAAATTTAACCTATGTAAATATTTTTTTTGTTAAAGTCTATCAAATATTTTTGTTATAAAAATGCAAGAAAATATGTTAAACTATTCATCTCCAATGTAAATATTTATACACTTGAAAAACATAATAATTTCGAGTCGATTAAATTTATTGAAATTTATTTCTTGCAAAATTTGTTCTCTTTTTTTTAAAAAAAAAAAACTTTTTGCATGAAAAATTTATTTTACATAAATGAAAAAGAGAATAATTGGTTTGAAATTTTCATGAAATTTAACAGAACTTTGTACGAAATGGAAATTTTTTTATAACATTACTTTAAAATTATAAATTGAGTTAAATTAAATTTCAAAACAGGCCACTGGCTATTAATTGCTATGGGACTTGCATGGTTTGCAATAGGTTTAAATGCATTTTAACATACTGTAATATTTTTGAAATATCCATCCGCATAAGTAATTTTTTTTGTTAATCAATAAATTATAATTTATACTTTTGTTTACAAAGTAATAAATATTCATCAAGTAATTTTATAATGAAAATAGATCTGTACGCAGTGAAACTCAGTAAATTATTAGTTTTGAGTAAAGAAATCTTAAGAACCTTAGTTTTGAAACCAAGTAAATTATAAAATGTGGAAATGTTTAATTATTAAATGTAATAAATAAATCATATCAAATAAAATTAATTAACTCATCATGCTAATTCAAAATGTTTAATGCTCATAATTTTTTGATTCAGGCAGGAGTTAACGTGTTTGTAAGCTGAAAAAAATACTAC